TGGGGCTTCTGCCTAGCTGAGGGCTATGAGGAGGATTTTGGTGGCATAAAATCTGTCTCAACTGTCTTCTTCATAGTAATTCTTAGAAGAAAAATATACAGGTACAAGAATGGACGACCTCCTTACTTATGGTGAACCGACATGTAAATAACAATCAATCTTTCTACTTTTGACAATTTTTCAGTGAATCTCTGCTATGTTTTAAGGATTTCACATAACAACAACACAGGTAGACACATAGTGGGAAAGTCTATGCCTTTCCATTAAAGATAAAGAACACCTAAATTAGGTGGATTACATATTATTTGTTAAACAAATTATATGTAACTTGACATAATTAATTTGTGTCTCCTGAAGTGATACCCCTATTAAGGGGACACGTTTTCTGGTCCCGAAGGTGTCCCCTTAACAGGGGTTCTACTTTAATAAGTTGCTAAAAAATCAGGATAAATCGGCAAACTGGGTATTAAGAGAGAAAATTATTAAGTTGCTATGGTCTGAATCTATTTTGACTGCAGTACAGTATATTTCAACCACAGTACAGTATATTTCAACCACACATGAGAACCACAGGAAGTGCTATTTCTGTTGAATTACTAATTTTTATATAGACATACAGTAGTACAGATTACCAATATTGACACTACAATTTACAGTTTTGTTTAATTTTTTACACCATACAGAAATGCATTAAGGTGGCACACACTGCACTGATAGTCATCGGCCAGCGTGAGGAGGTGCGTCAAATAAATGTTTTTTTCAATCGTATCCTTCTCAAACTGCCACAGACAATCAGCAGTCAGAGAGCGGAAATAGATTCGTCGACAGACTGTTGCAATGTTTGCTCGATAATAGTTGTAATACCATTTTTATTTAGTAGTAAAAGGTCAAACATTCTGAGAATGATGTGTGCTGCTGTTCTGGGTATTTATTATGGCTATTTTTGCCACAGTAAGATTTTTACTGAAGTACACAGTACATACATTCGTTTTAAGACATGCTGTTGTTAACTGGCATGCATTTTTTTTTATTATGTCAGTTACAGTGTAGTAAAGACACAGGTAGAGTCTGTCCTGAAGACCATCATCCTAGACGAAGTATAAAGAAAAAGCGTAGACTACACAAACCAGCAGTCTATACCTCAACAAAACTAGTGACAGTACTTAAGCTAGAATACCCCTCAAAAATAATAGAACAGTCAATTCTCAGGTCTATGTAATACTCAACCATATTTGCATCTGCATGGTCGGTTGCATCATGATACAGTACATGAGGCTACTGGTCATTGCAAGATGCATGATACATGAGGCTACTGGTCAGTTGCATGATACATGAGGCTACTGGTCAGTTGCAAGATGCATGATACATGAGGCTACTGGTCAGTTGCATGATACATGAGGCTACTGGTCAGTTGCAAGATGCATGATACATGAGGCTACTGGTCGGTTGCATGATACATGAGGCTACTGGTCAGTTGCATGATACATGAGGCTACTGGTCAGTTGCAAGATGCATGAGGCTCTGGTCAGTTGCCAGATGCATGATACATGAGGCTACTGGTCGGTTGCATGATACATGAGGCTACTGGTCAGTTGCATGATGCATGAGGCTACTGGTCAGTTGCAAGATGCATAATACATGAGGCTACAGTTGCAAGTATGATACATGAGGCTACTGGTCAGTTGCAAGATATATGAGGCTACTGGTCAGTTGCATGATACATGAGGCTACTGGTCAGTTGCATGATACATGAGGCTACTGGTCAGTTGCATGATACATGAGGCTACTGGTCAGTTGCATGATACATGAGGCTACTGGTCAGTTGCAAGATGCATGAGGCTCTGGTCACTTGCCAGATGCATGATACATGAAGGTACTATCGGATGCATCTCAGTCAATCATAAAATAGGGACCTCAGGATGTTTACAATAATGATGCTTTCCTGCTGAATATGTGAACATTTATATGTGCTAAATACTGTCACAAGGTGACGTGGAAATTGTGGAGCAAACAAACAATTTGGGAAGGAATACAATTTAACAATTTTACTAAATGAAATGATAATTATTACCAAATACTGATTAATTATGTTTGATATAAAATGATAAAGTTAATAACTTGACCACAACTGATTGATTGTTGAGTTAAATAGTGGTATCTCCTACCTTACTAGCATCTCGATCAACTTTAACTGCACTCAGCAATACAGAGCAAATTTGACATCTTATGGCTCTTGGCAACAGAAACAGGTAAATGGTAGCAACATTACTGTGGAAACATTAATTCAATAGTAATTAATATTGCATTAAAAATATACACATTTATATATTATATATTAATTTGAAATAAGGATTTTATTTTCACTATTATAATTGTAATATTTAATTATCAATATTTAGGTGTACCATGATGATCATTAGCAATAGTATAGTCTGGTCTGTAAAGTGAAGAGAGCATGGGGGGTGATTTAGCTCTGTGGTGTGCTGATCTTTCAACACCTTTCCGTCCATTGCTCAATTCTATCTGGGCTCTCCTTGTGATTTACCTGGAGGCATGGAATGCAAGTTACAACAGCGCAAATAAAGCACATTCTGCAGAGAAGAGGCCTAAACAGTACGGGATTGCCTCCTCAGTGTACTACCAATTTACTACAAGGACGCATTAGAAAATATTAGTTTCAGATTTTATCGATTCCAACAAATTATCACTATAAATACAGTACTTTTAAAATTAGTAACATAAAGGTAAATGTAGGAGAATAAGCATTAACTAACAGCATCATTGTGCTTAATATGGGCGTAGTTTGGGCGTGGTTTGTGATACTGGAGCAGCTGCGTTAAAAAAAGTTAAATTGCACCAAGTGCCATGAGCCACATACTTGTGGTGGATTGCCAATATACAAATTGCCATTTATTATATTTTTAAATATTTAAGGTAGGAAATCCCAAAATTTGCATGTTTTGAGATGGAATGACCCTTCCACTTCTCACAGCACTACCTTTTTGTCACGAACCCTCTCTACCAAACAAAACAAACTACAAACAAACAAACTGCCTCTGGAATTTTTTTTTAAATATATACTTCCATTTTAAATTACAGGTCTCTAAAGACCCCACCAATTAAAGACCACCTCCAATTAAAGAAAACTGTGTTGTGGTCTCAAATTAGCCAAAGCTGAAAGACTACCGAAACCCTGGTCACAAAAGTAGTCTCTAATTGGAGGGAGACCTGTAGCTTAATCCACTCACTAAACTCAACATTATCATTTTTTTGCAGCATTGTGAGGCAACCAATGTGAGAGCACTTCGCAATAAAATTAATATAAATATTATTTAATAAAATAAAAGCAATCATTTGAGCATACCTTAGTTTGACAAGATTTGCCTCTTTAACTGATTTCTTCAATGAGTTTGGTTGACAATGAGAATTTCAGTGATGCTAACTAAGAGTAGTAGCAAGACATTAAAACGTTCGCAATCACTCGGCCTGCACTCAATCAGTTTTTCAAACTAAAAAACAAAAGATTATCGTCATTTGACCTTCAAAACCAGAGAAAGAATATGATCGCACCAGTAGAAGCACTAGCGGGACAGGGGAATAATCCCCAGTTGGACAGACACCTCCCCCCCCCCACCTCAAGACTCAAGATTCAGATTCCATTTATTTTAAATGAAATGAAATGCACATGAAATTAGAAATCCTGAATTAGGAATACACAAAATATACACAAAAGTTAAATAATTACTTGAAAGACAAAGATTAAAAACATAAATACAGTGCATGCAATACTTTAAATTACAGCTAAATTAATAATAGAATATACAGTAAAGAAGGTCTTAATGAGCTATATACTCAAAGGAGGTAAACAAATTTGAGTTGTTTACAAAATGGATCAAAATAGAAGAACAAAGCGAGGATGGACCACTGTGCACTTTTGTTTTTTTATTTGATGTGACACTCTGTACTTGGCGCTATGCATATGAGAATAATGGAGGTCAAATATGTTGATAATTTGAGGGGCACCATACCTCACTGTGCATTACATGGCTGTGGAGAGAATCTTCAGATCTACAGGCCACACATCCTGTCATCACACAATGGCTACAGGCCTTGTCTCCCAAACCACTATTCAACAAAGTAAATTAAATTAAAATGAATATATAAACATGTATTATGTAACAATTAAATAACTTTTTTTATTCTGAATATATTGCTATCATTCTTTCTGTGTTTCCTTATGTTAATTTTTATTGATTGGTTATTGTTAATATTAAACTTCAATTATGTATAAAAGATTGCAATAATGTATGAAGAATTAAATTAATAAACTTGAATAATGGTTTTGATAGGGCAAAGTGTCTGTAAATTAACTGCAGGTTAGAAATCAGGCCTGGAATTTGCCTTCTACTTTTTCTCATGACCAAGACAACTCAAATCCCTAAGCCTCATAATGAAACTTGGTTTACTTAGAGGATCTTGTGTTTATATTTGTCTGGTAAAAGAGGATATGTCACTTAGAAAAGTGATGGAATGATTTCGATTTGGATTTCTTCTATGTGATACACACCAAGGATTATGTTTGCTGTTTGGCAGATCCTTGGCTTTGGGCCTAAAACAATTAATAAAATAAAATAAAATACACACGCCTGCTAAAGTACCCTACGCACAACACAATTTATCATTTACCCATTACACATCACTTTTGAGTATGATGCCATTCATTATATTATTGTTTCTATTAATCTTGTAGTAGCAAAAATTTAGGCAACTTGTTTCTTCTGCCTTACCGCTCGGCCACTCGACTAGCCTCATGTGATAACTGTGTGGATGCTCTATCAACTGAGCTGCAGTATTTAATATGTATGTTGAACCCCATTTGGTTTTCCCATTTTTTTATTTATCAAAGGTATTGCACAAAATAAAAATATATACTAACGTCTTCACTATTGATAAAGATGATGAGAAGTTTATAAGAACAATGTACTGTTGATCCCATTGATATTCAAACTATTAAGACGCATGGGCTGAGCAGCTGACTCAGAGGTATTGTTCCTGCTTCTTGTGCTGAAGACCGTGGTTCAAACCCGGCCAGCATTAGCTTTTATTTGGAGTCTGATCGCTTGGCTCCTCAAAGATGGAAAAATTAATTTCCGGGAGATCTACAGTGGCTGATCCTGGAATTCAAACTCCCATGATTTCCAGGAGACTTGGGACCCCTGCTATCCTAACATCTAAGTACTACTTAACTGTAAACAACCTTATCCTTAGTTTATCTGTATTCATTTACTACTGAATTATTCACAATTAGAATTGAGTTGAAGCATGTATAGTAATATAATTACTATGTCATTCAAAGATATTGTTTGTTTTTTTCTTATTTTGACTGCTTTTTTTTGTGATGCTTTTTGAATTTGTCCATCAAAATAAATCAGATTTATATAAATAGAAAAACAGATGCTCTATTACCTCTTTACTTTCACTATTCAATGTTTCAACTGCACTCCAGACACTATCATAGAGGGCGCTATTGAAATAAGACTCATTCATCCTGACATGTGAACTGGGCACTCTGCTTGGCTTGCTGGCTTTTAATTGGTCCATATGAAACCAGCGAATCCCTGCTTCTCGCCATAGATTTCACTGCAACAGAATTTTTCTGCTTCTGGTGTAAAACTTCAGAAGTTGATGGTTGTGTCTTTTGCTGGAAGAGCAGGAAAAATAGATTATTGCATACTATAACATGTGAATAAAAACATATCGGTTATTCATCTAATCAATTAAAATACTGTTGTTGTTATTAAATATTCTATCTAATATCGGTAAAAATCTCCTACAGTCAGTGGTGTATCTAGTCTGGAAATGGGGAAGGGGCTGATGTGGGGGGGGGGTGGCGAAGTGGAGGACTCGTTTAAGTGAGGAAAGGTTTACAAAAATAAGGTGATTTTATCTACTTGAGCATGATATACTTTGCCTTGAACATTTTAAATGGGAAGGTGCAAGTTTTTTAGGGGAGGATCGAATGCGTGCAAATGATGCTCAATGATGGTGATACTTCCAAACTTGGACGTCTATGCTTTTGTTAAATCTCGATTGGATTATTGCAATGGGTTCTTTATGGCTTTTGTCCTACAAACTGCTGAGGAAAGTCCAGCTAACCATGGGCATACAGCACATCCCCAACTGTACATCGTCTCCATTGGTTACCCATTTATCTGAGAATTAACTTCAAGATCTTGTTATTTGTATATACTGTAAGTCACTCCATAAATCATTCCCCAACTACATCTCCAATCTTATTTCACTTCGTTTTGCTGTTTGCATCCGCAGACTTGGTCTACCTCATCTTCACTTTACCATTCATAACTGTTCCATTGGTCACCACACAACTTGTGGCAATCGTTGTTTCTGGTTGCTGCTCCAAAGCTTTGAAACCAACTACTGTACCTGAGACTGTTTGACTGTCTTCAAGTCTTGGCTCAAATCCCATCTTTTTTCTTTATTTTAATTCTGAATTTGATTCCTTTTCTTTTGATTTTTGTTTAAAGTTCTTTCTATTTTTGTGTGCACTTGGGCTGTGGTTTCTTTACAGAGAAACGATTTTGTATTATGCGCCTTATAAGTATATCACTCCATTTACCAGTAATGAAGTAGTGCAATTTGTGGATTACTATCAACTTTAATACCGGGTGTGTTTGTGGCTCCACAGCTAAGCCTGTGTCTGACCCCCCTGGGGCTTCTTCCTTGCTGGGCTACTAGGTGGATTTAGTGGCATAAAATGCATCTCAATTCTGTTTCCTTCATAGTAATTCTTAAAAGAAGACAACAAAGACTAAGAAGAAGATAACCGCCATTGAGTGAACCCACGTGTACAGTAATTGATAACGACTTCAATTTTTAAAGACTTTTTTTCTATTAAGTAAAACTTACTACTGAAATGGTTCTTTTTTTTTTTTTTGGATTTGCATATAGTGATATTTAGGTAGACTTATATATAAGTGCAAATAAACAAGGTCTCTATGCTTTACCCATTAAAACACTAACAAAAACCTAAACTAATTAAATAACAATCCCCCACCACTTAATAATACTTATTATTGACCTATCTTATCATCATTTTAAAAAAAATCGTTTGTTAGTATACTTATTTCTTTACATAAAACCGACAACCTGCATATATTACTACCATCTTATTATACATTTTATTGTTGTATTTTGTATTGATGTTGGCCAGAGGCTTAGAGATGACCACTTGATGTGTTGTTGAGCTTAATTCCCATGTCATTTCTAGTCACACCCTTGGTCAATATTTAAAGGTATTTGAGGAATCCTCTATTCATAAAAAAATTTTTAACTTTATAGGGAAGGGCATTTAAAAGGCAAATTTTCAACACTGCATGAACATATCAAAGGCAAGATCTTATTTTACCTGAGAGTATTTGTAAAAAATCAACTTAGCTTTTTGTTCAAAACCTGGACTGTTGATTGGCATTGGGGGGGGGGGGCACTAATACATAAAATCAGATGTAACCTATAGAGTAAGGGCAGGCATAGAAGAGGTGTATACCCCAAAACACTGCAGTATCACATGAATAGGAAGAGTCTGTACACATACCTGTCTCAATTGTTCTTTTTGGTTTCCAGTATACACAATCTCCATTGAAGACCATTCCTTTCATATTAACATACGAGTAGAAATCATTATGATCCTTAAACTTGGAAATCATGGAACCACTATATGCACTATAAAAAAAAAATTACATATTAAAATAGCAACCTGAAGAAGTTGATTGCATAAAGAGAAAGCTGGGTGTTCAATGCATTATATTTTGTGTATTAAAAGTGCTGTTTGATATATTTTTTTACTGATTTAGTTGAGACTAACACAGCTACTCAGGGGTCCTAAGTTGGAAGAAGTCACTTGCTGGAGATCTGGTTAATGAGCTTCTTAAACACATGTAACTTTATTTAGCTGCACATGGTGACACTCATCAGCAGCTGACTTGTGAGACCATTGATAATTACAGTACTGTAGTATAAACATGTAAATATTAGGAATTTGCGCAAGATTGGTTCATTTCCAGGAGATTTCTGCTTTCTTGGGGAATTGCCATAGGCCATCTTGTTTTGCTGGGATCCCTGTGATTTGGCATGCCTGGGCTACTACTACTACTACTAAAAATAACTTTATTTAGCACAAACAATATCCAATTAAAATGATCACAGGCGCTGTACAGAATTTTAAAAATTTAAATTTTACAAAAATCAATACTCGATATACCACGTGATTTAACAAGATATGAATTTGGGAAGACATCAAATTCTACATTTTTTTCTGTGCTTAATATCAGTTTCTGTTTTTACGGCTTTCTTTGCTTTTCAAGCTTTAATATAAAATTTAAAGCCGCAGTATAATTAAAAATAAAATAAATAAATACATATTTTAATAACAATGTGATGGTGATATCGCTCAATAATCAATCAGTCAGTTAATCAATAAATCAATGCATACATGAATAGATAAATCACTACAAAAAATCAATAAAAAATGTATTTTTTACTATATTATTATTGCAAATTTTGAATTACTTATTATTATATTACCACAAAACTCCTATGATAAAGGTATTGTTATGGGTTATACGCAAAATATCTTGAAGATTAGTTTTTGTAATTGTACAAATGATGTGAATGTACCTGTACTTTGTTTTAATGCCTCTGTATTATTTGTTACTCTATAAATCACATTACACAATTCAAAACCAGTTGAAATTGTTTGATCATCTCATATTGAGAGTTTGGTAGGTTAAAGGACAATGTTTGTATCCATACGTGTCTGTCATATGTTGTAGTTAAGTTGGGTGACTATGCACTGCAGCCATGGGTCCCCGTCCCAAATTTCCAATTTTGCATTAGAATGAGGACAAATAATTAAAATATTATTAAGATTTACTACTCTAACAAATAAGGCAAGACTTTTTTGAACGATTCCGCCGACTGCAAATATTGATGATTTCAAATAAAAATAACATTTTATTTCTTGCCAATTAGCGTACCTGCCTTCACGAAAAAGTGGAAATTTCAGAAAAAAATAACAGTTTTTCGTTGATTTTATTACATCCTCCACTGCCACAAAATCTCCAAAGATATGTACATTTCTTTCTAATTATATAAATTTGAAACATTTAACCATCTTATTTTACATTCACCAATAACATTTTATTTTTATTTTTCCTCCATCTGGATGATTTGGACAAAACTATTTGCTAAATAAGAAAACAAAATTTTATTTTTATTTTTATTCCGCACTAATCCGATAACCTATAAACCTATAAAAAAAAATAAGAACACGAAAACAATAAGGAATATTAAAATGTCTCGCCTAAGCTAGGAGGCCAGGTTACAGGATTGTAACTAATTCTAGATGAGTACCTGTCGGGGAACTGCTTATGAAGACAGAGACAGCGATGGTTTTGGCATGGAAAGCAGAGTGCTGAATGTGGCCAGAAAGATGGAGGTGCCAGACAAAAGACCATTTGGACGGCCAAAGATGACAGGGCGAGCAGGTTAAGAACCTGATAAGAACCTAATTCTAATTCTAATTGATAAGAACCTGGTGGAAAAATGATGTCAAAATATGAATAAGTCTGATACTACTTTTAAGTACTCAAAAACTATGATGATGTCCAATACATGTCATACAGTACAAGACAGCCAAGAATTTTCACACCCTCAGTATAAGTTGGGGCCAAGGTGAGCAATGTTGTGTTCACAATTGGCCAGTGCCAACTGTCAGAGCCTTCCTGCCCAAAACATGTGTTCTTTTTGTCGTTTGATTGTCATCTTTAATATGTGTTCTAATATCAATTAATTTTAGTAAAAAACCACATCATTGGTTTTTTCTATGTTTATTTACTATAATCACAGTTCAGAATTGAGATTTTAAGCATGTAACGGTAATACCAAAGCTTTCAAAGATATTGTGAAATATTACTTAAGCTATTTACTTATTATTAAAAACACATTTTGTTTTATGTATGACGACACTCCACTCAACTCATATTGCACTCTATATAAGATGTTTGTGCACCGTTCATTTATTTGTTTATTATTAACCCTCTAGATACCGTCTTCGACTGTAGTCGAAATTGACCTCAAACCGAGAATTCCCATTTTCGACTGCAATCGAAATTTCGTGACTAAAAATAGGTTGTTTTCAAATCGCTCTTCTGTTTTTATTTTAGCTCCAATACGTCAGAAATTTTGAACACGCATGCGTGAAGCTTTTGTCTTTCGAAATCTGTGAAGAACTCACATGTGCTTATATAAAAATGTTTAGAAATATCAATTTGAAATCGTTATTAATTTCAAAAATTTTTCGAAATGGCCGCACAAGTGTGTACACAGCTGAGCAAGCGATTGACCTGATTTTTGATTCAGACAGCGATGAAGGTGAATTTTTAGATGTGCGAGACTTAGACGTGCCTGTTAGCGATGATGACTCCCGGGGGGCTTCAAGCAGTTCTGACGGCGGAGATGTTCTTGATGAAGATGAGCCTAGGCCTAGAAATGTGAGGGTAGTCAACGCTTTTGAATGGAAAGATCGCGCTTATAGTTATGGATGGTTGGGTAAATAATTTATATAACTGTGTGGAATAGGAATGTTTTATATTTGTTTTTATTTTTTTTTTTTTGGCTATAATTTATTTATTTTTTTTCGGTTTTTGCTGACGATTTATATGTAGCATTTTTCTGTCATTTCTATTATATTATATATATATTATATTATGAAAAAAAATTCCCAAAAATATAAATTATACATCAAATGAAAGCTTATTCTATAAGCTTTCTTTGTTTTTAGAAAAGTTCCCAAAAATCCACCAGAACGACATATACTCAAAAAACGCAAAAAACCTTGTTACACTGCAAAAGAATCTGGTATTCAAGGGTTTGCAATACAAAAGAATCCGGTATCCAGAGGGTTAACAATTGTTGCAGTATCAATTTCTCCTGAGTGAACCGTTATTAATTTGCAGCTTAAGGAAACATTCTACGAGTTTTTCTTATAATTTTACTACTTTTAATGTGATGCTCTTTCAGTTTAGGTTAACTCCACAATAGTTACATAAAATAAAAACAAGACTGCAATTACATAAATAGATAAAAAAATGCTCTATTACCTCTTTACTGTTACTTTTCAATGTTTCAACTGCATTCCTGATATTATCATAGAGGGCGCTGATCAGACTCATCATTCATGCTGTCATATATGTAGATGGGTAGCCTGCTCTGCTTGCTTGTTCATCTGAAACCAGAGAGTCCCTGCTTTTGATCACAATAGACTTTACTGTGCTTTATCTTGCTGCAGAATTTCTCTGCTTTTTGAATTAAACTTGTGAAATTGATGGTGGTATCTTTTGCTGGAAGGTCAATAAAAAAATGATGATTAAGTGAGGGGTGTTAGCTTGCAGAAATATTAAAGGTGATATGAGGTGTTTTCTATTTATTGAGCAGGATTTTTTTTTACACTTTCAATGGGGGAGGGGAGTTGAGTTTTTTTTTGGGTGATCATGGATTTTTTTTTTTACACTTTCAATGGGGGAGGGGAGTTGAGTTTTTTTTTGGGTGATCGTGGATTTTTTTTTTTTACACTTTCAATGGGGGAGGGGAGTTGAGTTTTTTTTTTGGGTGATCGTGTGTCAGTGGTAGTGTAAGGCTAATTGAAATCACATTGGGCTCATAGATAGATTTACTTGTAGACATGTTTCATTGCCAACCTAATAGCAAGGAGTAATGTTTGGCAATTAGGACTAAAATATAGGCACATGAGCCTTATAGTAAAATGCTATTGTACTAAACTAAACACAGCAATTTGTTTGTCCACTGCACTTATTAAAATAAAATTCCAAAATTATGCTACAAAACACAGGTTATTCAAATGTGTGTTGTTTGTGCTTTTAGTAAAAAATAAGAAAATAATGAACTATAATAGCTTACAAATTATAACATGATAAGCATAAAATGTTATTTGTCTCATCAAAAAAAAAATTCATAGCAAGTCTATCATGGTAAGTAATAGTCATATTAATTATTACTCTTTCCATAATATTACTATCATTTGTGAGCTCTCACTACAAAATGAGTCTCATCGTTAGAAAATCAAAAAATGATATTACATTTTGGTAGATCACATTATATGCTTTAATTTGGTCTTTGAATGGCTTCCCTAAGATAAATAGATCCAGAGATGTTAGCATTTACAGTTTAGGTGTATGAGAACCAGGTTTTGAGAATATTGGCCTCAAAGATAAACTAACCTGTACAAATAATAGGACTAGAATTACAGAACATGCGAAAAGAACACTGTTTCAGTAAGAAAATTCACTTAAAAAGTACACAATCATAAAATATAAGTATCAAGTTATTCAAAAACATTAAAATCAAAATTTTGACCTATTTTGGTGAATATCTCAATAGATTTCACCAAGGATGCATCTCATTTTGTGGTGAGATCTCACATTTGTGAGAATTATAAAATTCATACTTGATTTGAATGTTCTAAAAAATCAGAGCTGTGGTATATAATTAAAAGTAAAATATGTAATTTTTTTTATATAATGTGTTTGTCTAATTGGTCAATAATCAGTCGTCCAGTCAATTAATCAACCAGTCAGTTAATCAATCATTGAACCAATGATTGATATTAGCAGCTGATGACATGATCATTGCATTAAGTTTTCTTGAAAACTCAGATGAGAATGTGCTAATGGTGCAAATTGTCGGAAAAGGAGTAGGACTAGGCCTAGACAAATATAAGAACGTGGAATTTGGAAATATAATGTCTGTACAGAGAGTTCTCATTTGTCCAAGAGAAATATCCTCATTTTGATATTGACATAAGGAGAATGTGATCACTCCGCAGCTCAAATCATGCCAACAACCAGTCTTGCTAAAAAAAAAATCACACGATTATTATTGAGGGTGAGCTTATTCAAATTAAAAGGCACGCTTATTCAAACAGGCCGCTTAAGGAAATTTTCAAGTTATTAGGAGCGCTTCAAACAGGGTGCTTATTCGCACGAGTATAACGGTAATACGATAACGAAGGTATTGCTTGTAGATACAAATAATTGTGTATTAGTCAAATTATCTTGATTATTTTGAGATTACTTAATAAATAGCGTCCTCAATAATATAGCACGTGAGTCGAATTTAAATATTCAGGTGCGATTGCGATTCTTCAATTGATTTAATGCTGCGTGTAAAAATTCATACTAACTTGCCATTTCAAGAGTGACGGACGTGGTATGATAGGTGTAAAGCCTGCGCATTTTCCAGGCCTATCAGAAATTGTGATAGGTGGAAGCCTGCATATCTTGCAGGCCTATCATGTTAAATTGTATAGTGCAATTTTGGCGAATAAGAATGGTGTTCTGTCGTGGTTGCCACAAAATTTTAAATGACGTAGTTCATGTGTGTGTGACCCAAAGTGACGATAGAAGTCCGGAGACTCTGAAATGGACGTCATGTTAACAAGTTACTATCAAAAACCGTTACTGTGCTGTTTGTTTGTTGATTTGGTTTATTGCTCAGTGAAACACTTACTTGCTGTGATTGTGACTGTTTGGTCAATGGTTGTGCTGATAGGACTATTATTATACAAGGTGAAGGAGCAACTACGTGTTGGCGCCGATTCGTGTGTTGCGACTCTTATTATTCGTCGGTATGATACAAGCACTGCAAAAAAAGATGGTTTCAATGAGATTTGGAATTGGAGCACTTCTCTAAATAAGCCTGATACTTTGTGACATTCGCGTATTTATATTTGGCTGTTTCAATATAAGTTCGTCTAGACACAGCTATCAAATATAAACCTACTGTAAATATAAGTTATGTTTAACATGGTCATTTTGTAGACTTATTATCTGCATACCTTTATATCATGTTGTTGAAAGTGAAATATATATTATGTAGAAAATATAAGAAAATCTAAAAATAATGAAAATTGTGTTATATACCACACCATGTTAATGAATGAAAACGAGTGGTGGTATATATTGTCTGATGAATTAAAATTAAATAAAAGAAACTACAATAAAATTGTCTTGGTTCATTTTTGAGGTCTAGTATCTGAGGACAGAATCTAATTACCTTGAACTTGGGCGCTAACTCAATTTAATATCTAAAAGCAAGTTAGCAACTCATTTTCTTAATTGCATGTAAATGATGGACTTTGTTATACCTATTGTATTCATTTTTACTGTGTAAATAATACAAAAACAATCATTTAATACAACAATGTGTTGTGTAACAATGACTGCCTGCCGTAACACATCAACAATATAGTGAATATTAAACCTTTAAATCTTGGTGTTAACATGCAGTCAATGAGTAAAATGTAAGATCAAAGTATTACTTAACTATAAATAATAAGTAAAATTCAATAACTGACTAACAATAAATTATATTTAATTTAAACAAACTTTATAATTTGTATTTTCAACTATTTATCCTTATTTCATTTAAAATAAATGTGTATAATATATAGACCTAATTCAGAAATAAGGCATTGCTCATACATAGGATTTGGCAGTTGATATTTAAAGTTTACTTTGTGATCTTCCAATATTTCAAGTGATTGGCTTCAGTATCTATTTGTATTTACAAAGAAGATAAACCCTAAATTATAAAAATGAAAATATTTTTTGAGAGGGGAATATGTACCTACCTGGTATGTTCACCAGCTGTATCAGTGCAAAATGACTCTGGAATTTAGGCAATGATGAACCCAATGGTTTTGAGGGCCTAGAAGTACTTTTTCACTCAAACACAGGAGCTTTTTTTAGCCACAACTTTCCTCGGATTTAACCCAATAATCATTGTGGACTTAGAGAAAGTTGCTACGGCCTTCAGAAAGTAAACTACTGGAATACACTGGTGTTGACATAGGTTTTGCCTCTGAATAGCTGCTTGTATCTAACAAAGTAAACAAACACAAAACAAACATAACAACACACTCTCAATTGTCAAGCCTTTGTCCACACTATCAAACTTTATTTCTCAAAAATTGTCAGATGACATCATCTCATGACCATATATAGGCACAGCATCACTATATATGGCCATCAATACTTTCAGATGACATCATCTCATGACCATATATAGGCACAGCATCACTATATATGGCCATCAATACTTTCAGATGACATCATCTCATGACCATATATAGGCACAGCACCACTATATATGGCCATCAATACTTTCAGATGACATCATCTCATGACCATATATAGGCAGCATCACTATATTTGGCCATCAATACTTTCAGATGACATCATCGCATGACCATATATAGGCACAGCATCACTATATATGGCCATCAATACTTTCAGATGACATCATC